CCAAGGCGCTTCAGCCTTGTGACCATCAGCGCTTCTGCACTCTGCTAGGCCTTGTGCCTACTGGACCTCATTTGCTTACTTCTTGACCCTGCTTGTACTGTGATCACTATATATATATGTATACCTGCATGTTCACTCTTGCTAGGTTGTGATCACTGTATCTCTTGCTCTATTATAAACCTGCATGTGGACTGGTCTTGTGACCGCTTGCTTGTGCTCGGAATTTGTGTGGAATCCTTGAGATCCACCCTGAGCTTGCCTTTCTTTGCTTTGACTGGTCTCGTGACCCTCTGGTTGTCTCCCACTGCGCCTATGGGGGTGTGTCAAACATTATATGTTTATATGATTGTAGGCTGTAGTGGGTTACACCTTAGGGGGTACACTAGATTAGGGTTTCCTACTTGTATCCAACTTTGTGCTAGTACAGTCATTCCTGTCCGTTCATTCTGACAAGCCACACTGACGCAAACTGCTTGGGGTTGTCTTCGCTAGGAGCAGCATCTTTAGTAATCAATAGTATATTTATTAGAGGCCTAGTTTATAGTTAGCGGCACGTTTCCCACCAATCATCTCGCATTTCAATCGCTCCACCCCAGCTGACAAAACTCGTGGGAGCTTTCAACCCCCGTTGATTTCCCCCAAGACCTGGACAAACATGTACGGGCGAAGTCATGGTTAGCGTAAGTTAGTAACTGGGAGAACATGGCGGAGCGAGCAACGTTCATATTGCGAAGCTTTTCGATAGCCGTTTCTTTGGGATGTGGTTCGCGGAAATGTGTGGATGGGCGGGAAACGGCGGGGGGCGCGCGCGGATGCCGCGGTTTTGCCGTGAATTCGCGGCGTGGGGCTTTTCTCGCTTTACGCGCGCGCGCGCTGGTGTTGATGGTGGCGGAAATGGCGCTTCTTGCGCTCGTTTGTAGCGCGGTTCGGCTACAAGCGTCTCAAGGTGGGGCTTGTCCTGCTCGTTATGGTAGTAAGGTGGGGGTGAGTTGCCCCCCCCCCCCCTGATTTTTGAGACGCAGTGCAGTGTGGGTCCAGCCAGCATGCTGCGCCATTGCCTCACCCCATCCCATCCCATCCCATCGCGACCTTTGATATCAGCGCTGCCTGCATCATTTTCCTGTTGCGCACGTTGCGTGGCAGCGGCGGTGATGCAGGAGTGCGAGGCGGTGTGGAACATGGCGGGTAGTGGGTGGACAGCAGGCGGAGACTGCATGCTACCCGAGAGTAACGTCAAGTGCAATGCAGATGGAATGATCACGCACCTGTAAGACAAAAGTACCCGCGTGCGCTGCGTGCTGTGTGCTGTGTTGTGTGTCACATGGTTTGTTTGCTGTGTGTGCTGCGTGCTGTGCTGTGCATACGGTGATGTGGTTTCCTGCTTTGTCTTGGCACCCTTGACTACTCATCCCTCTCTCTACGGGCCTTCTCTTCCCGCTCCCCACCATGGCCGCACCGCAGGTACTTAAGAGGCTTAGATCTTAACGGCACCATCCCCACCAGCATCGCCAGCCTCACCGCGCTCACTCTCTTGTGCGTGCATGACGCAATGGCACCCCTCTCCATGTGCTTTGCGAAGAGATTGCAGAAGTCACTGCACTCGATTTCTTGTGCCTTTGCATCCTTCTCCGCATGCTGCTTGCACTCCTCTTCTTTCTTCTTGCTTTTGTCTCCCCCATCCTCACCTGTAGTTGATCCGCATTCCTGCATCTGCATGCATGCGCACACGCATGCATGCGCACACACGCTTGCACACGCACACATGCATGCACGCGCACACATGCATGCATGCGCACACGCGCTTGCACACGCACACACGCATGCACGCGCACACATGCATGCACGCGCACACACGCATGCACGCGCACACACGCATGCTCTGACTCCACATTAAACTCTCTGAATGAGTGAAGTGCATGAGTATCACGTGGTTATCTTTAAGTAATTTCTTTCATGCTCAACCTTTCTCCCCCCTGCCTTCGCCCTGCCTTCATTCTTGGAATCGCATGGCGCTGAATGGTGGGTTAGCATGCTGCCGTGCTGTGCCATGCTGTGCTATGACGTGCCATGCCGTTCCATGCTGTGCCATACTGGGCCTTTGCTATGTATTACGCAATAATGGCGTGCGTGTGCTGCATGCGCGGGAGAATGACCATGGTGGGCGCATCACAAAGCAGCAAGTTGGACGGTTCAAATGTTCGCGGGCCTTTGCCCACTGGCCTTTCTCGCCTCACTCAACTCGCCGAACTGTAAGCGCGTGTGTGCGCATGAGTGCGTGCGTGTGCGTGTGCGTGTGCGTGTGCGTGTGTGCGCGCGCGTGTGCGTGCGTGCGTGTGGCGCGATCGTGTGTGCGTGCGCGTGTGTGTGAGGATTCTTAAGTCAGCTCTCGGAAGGAAAACATACATAAACAATTAGCTCTTAAAAGAGAAGTCACATGAGTCAATTTTCAACGTTGGATTCATTTAAAGCCACTCCAGCGCTGGAGGAGAGTGTGGTGTATCGTGTCATGCCGCCAGATGCACCCTGGAATGGCATGGGTGGGGGGGTGGGGATTGTGAGGGGGGTATGAGTGGTGGCTTTGAGGAGGGAACGAGTGTGGAGTGTGAGGGTGGGATGGGTGGTGGTGGTTGTGAGGGTTTCAGGTTGGGGGCGTTTAGAGGGGTGGGGGTGCGGGTTGCGAGAGGGGTGTGAACAATGGGTGTACGGGGGACGTGGGTTGTGAATGGAATGCTTCTTTTGAGAATTCTGGGAAGAAATACAAATGTGTGTATGTATGTACGCATGCATTCTCAGAAAATTCTCTCCTAGTAGATTCAATCAATTTATAATAAGGATTAGTCGTGCGTATGATCATGCAATAGGACCTACCGACCAAAAGTTCGGCTGGATTGACTCGAGTTTACTTTATGGTGCCTAAAACAAAAGTGGTGCTCGCATGGACACCCGCATTCCGCTACTTTCTTTTGCAAGCGCACACGCACATCTTTCACTGCATGACACACATCCAAACTGTTTCTTTCTGCCCCCAGCCTGCCCCTGCTCATTTC